GCATCCATCCATACTCCTGTAGTCAGTTGATTCGAGTATGAAGCGGTGTTATATTTTCGTCCTGCAGAAGTAGATCTCACACTTTGCACTCTGCTGCTTTCTTTGACCGTGTGGCATATCGCCATTCTGTCTTAGCCCCCCACCCCCTTCAAACAATATAGGTGACTGCAACTCCCTCTGATAAGCTATCGCTTCTTCGATCAAGTCAAGAAATTCATCCAATGAAGTTTGCTATCAATAATTTGCTATCAATAATTCGTTCATAGTATCTAATGAACCAATTCATCGTGACCAAACGACCATTTCAAAAAAATCTTTGGACGAATGTGAAAGAATAATGAAAAGAAAATCAGCCAACAGTGATTTGCCAATCTTGTCAGTTCCTCCGACATCTTCGAATTCCTTCCAAGGAGAATTTCACAATCTATGAGAACCTCAGTTGTAAACTAAATTTCAGAGTGTTTTTTCATTCTCAGGCAGCAATAGTGATGACTTTATTAGAAAATTACAAATTCAGTTTTCTTCGTTGTACAATGACAATAACAAGAAAAATGAATTACAAGAAATTCGCTCTAATAACACTTTGAGAACTTAGTCGTTATAAATCAAAAAATGTTTCAATAAAAGTACTCAGCGGGGAACAGCTGTAATCGTCTTATGAAACCGAGTAATTTCAAAAAACCACTTCTCCATTAAAATGTTCTATTATCATATTTCTGACGCTTTTCATATTTTTACTGCTCTTTTCCATCCCCTTCGATGTGAACTATCGATGAAAGTGAACTAAGTTGAATGGAGTACTGGTTAGAGATTAGATTAAATATAAACCGTTAAAAATATGCATGACAAGATCGACAATGTAAGAAAAGTAGCTGTTTGGTTCTGATAAAGACTGCGTGTTGATTGGAACTGAGTAACATAGCAATGAAATGCGTTGATAATAATAACAGCAATGATGGTTGTTAACTAAGATGCTATCTGTTGGGTGTTGTGTGCTGTGTGCATCTGGGTATGTCTATTTACCAAATTATAACCAGATGTGGCTCAATGCTTATAGACTGAATCAAGTTATATCCATCGATTAATCATACACACGAATTTATGCATTCATCTCTATACCTAACACAATACTGACAGTTTTTAGGAAATTATTCGATTAAAATATTGATGCAATAAACGATGTGTGAATAAGTAAAATGATCAGTGCATGGAAGGAATGAGTGAAGAAATAATTTGATTACGGTATTGAAGTGGCTGAATGTAACGATTGAAAAAAATGTGTAGCTGAATGAAAGGATGTAATAAAAACGAAAATATTCAACACGAAATGAAATCGATGCAAAAAGATGAAAATATGTCGAAGATGAGATAATAAAATATGAGACGCGTTCATGCGAACTTATTACTCAAACACCCACAAAAGCAATTATCTCACTTCCATCCAGCTTTATATCTGCTCATCAAATCTAATTCAATTAGCAATATGAATCGTGCTCAAACCCTCAATCACTAAACGCTATCCTCTAAAATCTTATCATGTTTGATTACTGCTCTTGTTATTGCTAATATCATTGCTAT